CCGATTCAATGTTCTAAATATATATATATATGAAAAATATTCGAGCAGCTTCGAAAAACACCATTTTACAATTCCATATAGCGAACGGCGGTATAATTCCACGTGATTTCGAGGCTGATTTAAAACACACGAGCGTATATAGAAACGTTTATTACAGTGAAACGCAAGCAAGCAACCATCGTTGGTTATATTTTCCAAAAGTAATGGCCTGGTTGAATGGACATCAGGTAATATAGAATAATTCAGCGCGGAAAAAGTACCAGAATATTTCCACGTATTTCTTCTCTTAATATGCCCGCAACATATTTCTTTTCCACCCCTCGTTAATTCCACGCGTTCGTTCGACATTAGACTTTAGTAGCAAAATCAGATTAACAAAAGGAGAACAAGTCGCAAATGGACAGGCGAACCCATTATTCGATAATGCGAGAAGCTGTTTAAGCGGAATTTCGCCATGTTTCGCAAATGTACAGTGTTCTCTGTCGTAGTATTTTTCACAGTGCGACGATAACGTGTGCATACATGTACGAAAGAAAGGGATGAAACGAAGAGTAACGTGGTCGAGTTGGAATCACGCGATAATTACGCTTAATGCATCCTTGTTTTTCCACTCTTTCAAATATTTTTGGGCTAATGAACGATTTAATGGCTGGCTGTTGCGTAATGGGATCATAACATCGTGAGACTCTTTCCTGTTGTTTCGTTTGATTTTCTGTAAATTCGCTACCCCCTTTTCGCTATGTCTTGTGAAGTAACGTCGTGATACGAAATTATGAAAATATTTTTCTGTGCATTGTTCGGTAGTAGATGTTTCAAAGTTTTAATTAGAATCTTGAGAATGCTTTTTCATTTAGTGTACAGCAATTTGACGGTCAAACTTTTGTGACGTTGACTCTGAACATTTTTTTTCTTTATTTAAGTTTTGTGACTGAGGTGGAACATAGAGCGTGTTTTTCACGTAAAGCAAGAGGTCTTTTAATAAGTATTTTAATTGTCGACAGTTTTGCGACAGAGGTGAAACATAAAATACGTTCTTTGCAAAAAAAGGGGGCGTCAATCAAGTCTGGCGACAGATTTCAAAAATCTGGAAATTTGAGTTTTATAATGAACATGTGAAAGTGTTTCCAGAATTTCGTATGACAGTATACATATTGATTCTCTCGTAAACTCGGTGATTTAAAAAGGAAGAAGTCAATCAGTTCTGGTGAAAGATTTAAAAAATCTGAAAATTTAAATTTTGCAATGAACATACGAAAGTGTTTCCATAATTTTGAATGACAGTATACGTAAACGCGGAAATTATTCTTCCGAAGATTAATTTTGCTCGTTGAAAGAAATCGCGATAATAATAAAATAAAAAAGGCAAAAATCCCGAATCTCGAAAGTACGCCTAATCTTAACCAATCGTCCCTCGGATGCTATTGTATTTTTTAAAAAATTCACACAGTACTATATTTACTCGTACATCGGTGAACTTTGAAATATCGTAACCGATGTGGGAAAAAATTGACGAAAAGGAAGTTACGAGATTCGAACGAAACTGCTGGCAATAATTATGCAGCAGCTTCTGTCAAACCGAATGAGCACAGGATCAGAGAACAACGTCCGAAAATGATGTGCAGCCGACGTTGATTTCCCGTCGAGAGACGGTTTGTACCATTCGTTGTTTTGCAAAAATTCCGCACGTCCATCTTCATTGCCTGTGCGCCACGAATATCCGGGATTTCGAACGAAATAATAGAAATGTCGATACAAGGAATCCGCTCCATTGGTTTCAACTGAATTCCTCTGCTGAGACGTTCTCTTATGAACTTTCACAGATAATCATTTTTACATTCCCTGCTCGTTTCGTACCTTCTGTTTTCAGATGAGAAATAATCGAATGCTGGAGTACGATTTGCGAGAGGATGTGTTCGTAATTTACTTAAGATTCGTGGTATCTTAATTAGTTTTATTCTTAATGTCCGGTCGCGCAGCCCACCGGCCAGTAACACATCATAAACTACTAAACAGTCCTTTCCAGCCGTCTTCCTAGCCCCTAACAAATTCCTTCCCTACCATAAAGCAGTTCAAGTCGCATCCTGGTCATGTTTCCTATCCCTTTCCCCTTTCCGGGTTTTCCCCAAATTATTTCAACTTTTACACACCACCTTCACCCTCACGTTCTCCTTCCACTAGTTTCCTAATATCCAATCACACCTCCGCATTTTTCGAGACCTTCTTTTCCACCACCTTCAAC